GGAGAAGCTGGGAACATGTCTGTCAAAGATCCAAACACTCCGGCTCTATTTTCCTAATGAGAATGCTTACGAAAAGACAGTTTACATCTCAAAGAAATTACGATGAATCTTTGAGCAACCTTTCAACATCGCTGACAACATTGAAAAAAATGCGAAGGAAACTAATCTGAGGTAGCTATCGACATTCACATACAGAAGCCTTGACGTGCGGACGTGATATCAGTAACTCCGTTGCCGAATGATGTTACTTAATTATCACTTACTCTCTACTGTTCCTTTCTAAACATCTATAGTGTTTTTTCCGTTACTCTACCTTTTATTATAATCTAATTTGCCAATGGGAAGAGAAGGAAGGAGTTCAAAGCCAGATAGCCCAGTACAAAGCGAACAAGATCAGGCCGTCATTACTGAGACGACCATGGCGCAGATGAGTATGTCACCCTGGGAATTGTTCGGGAATTATTTAAGGCTTAAGAGTCGGTTGCCGGGCCATTAAAAACAAGATTGGCATCGACATCGACATGGAGAAAGCGCACAGAGTCGAACGCAAGCCCAAAATTCAAGTCAGCCACGCACCATCGTTAGCAAATTACGCGACTGGAAAGAGAGAACAAGTACTACGCAAGACACGCGATGAAAAACTAAGTGGCATCCATATCAGCGAGGATTTAGCGGTTGCTACACTGATAAACCGCGAACCCTTGATACCGAAGTTGAGAGTTGCAAAAGAAGCAGAAGATCGCTTACTTTGTTCTTGACCGATTAATTATTCGAGAAAAACCGGCGAGCTGACTCAGTAAAGTAATACTTTAGAGTTATTACCCTTCAGTACTTTAGATGATGACAACTTTCCGATAGTAATTTTTTAAATATACAATGGCTTTATAAAGTTTGAACATAAGAGGCTTCTCAGTTTAAAATTTAATCCTCTGCTGTATACTTTCCATAGAAACTTTGTTTCACGCTATGATCTCGATCCAGACGTTAATTTTTACCATCAAAACTTAGATTGTGAATATTACACAGAGGGTAGCTTTAATAATAAGATGTTCGAAAATCATGATCGAGTAATAATGATTATGAAAATCTCGCCCTCCCCCATTTAAACAATCCTAGCATTTCTCATAAGCTGGATAAAATTTCTAATTTTTTGGGGAGATATTGCGATGAAATTCTCTGTTGTTGGTTTATCTGAGACTTGGCTAAATGATGCAAGTGATTCGCCTCATATTTACGGCTTTAATTTTATTCCTAAAAACAGAGTCAGTAGGACCGTCGGAGGTGTCGGTTTTTACATTGCTGACATTTAGAACTCAAACATCGCTCTGACTTGGCTTTTATTGGCAATTGTACTGAGTGGCTATTTGTTGAAATCAATAGAGCCAAGGGAAAAAACATAATGATAGGTGGTATTTAGTGGTCACCACACCAAAATTTTCAAGAGTTTATACATGAAATAGATCAATTAGTAAACAATATTTCAAAGAGAACAAGACCGTTTTCTCAATGGGTGACTGGAATGTAAATCTATAGAGCTACCCGTGTCACTATGGTACGGGCAAATTTTTTATATGTAATGTTTTCATGGATTTTTTTTCCATTAATTACTCGCCCAACTAGAATAACTTCTCACAAGGCCTCGCTTATTGATATCTTCAGAATGACCCGCTTAGCCAGTGCATTAGTGGTCTCTTATGATATTTATTTTATGATATTACTAATCATCTTCTGATTTTTGCTATTACATTGGTCTTTTAGCAGCATGCTTTTGGTGATCACAACAGGTATCTTACCTTTTGTCTCAAAACTCAACAAAATGTGGCATGATTTAAGTCTGAACTTGAAAATGTAAACTGGACGGAGTTTCCCGGTTATTTTGACCCGTACGTAGCCTATAAAAGCTTTCTTGAGAGGTACGCTGCTGTTTTTAACCAATGCTTTCCTTTGAAAGAGGTTTTGGCCAAAGGCTACACAACATCCAAACCCTGGCTATCTAAGCACTTTTAAAATCAATTCGAAGAAAGAACGTGTTATACAAGTGTTTAAGAAGAAGCTTGAAGAGGCAAAAACGAATGTAAAATGTTCTTGGAGGCTGCTCGATGAGGTTCTGAAATTTTTAAGCATGAAGTAGTCAATATTTGTAACACTTTGCGCTCTGGGTAAGGTACAAGCTTCGATAATATTTCCATAAGTCTTTTCAAAGAAGCTATTTCTTCAATAAGCAATCCCTTGACTCATATCTCTAATTTATCGTTAAGTTCTGGAGTTGTCTCGGCAGAGCTAAAGATTGCTCGTGTCGTTCCATTGTTTAACTGGTGATGAGTCATTATTTTCAAATTACAGACCTATTTCTGTTCTTCCCTCTTTCTCTAAAATTTTATGAAAACTTGTCCAAAATCGTATTGTTGATTATTTGAGTAAATATAAGATACTATCCGATAATCAATTCGGTTTTCGTAAACAGCATTCAACTGAATATGCCTTAGCTCTTTTATATGACAAAATTTATTCTGCTATTGATAATAATGAGGGAACAGTAGGTATATTTAGGCATTTGACACGGTAAACCATGAAATTTTACTTGAGAAGCTTCTACACAATGATTTTCGCGGTGTTGCATTTAACTGGCTTGAAGACTATCTCAACAATAGACAACATATTGTTCAGTTTAATCGATTTGATTCATCCTATTCAAATATCAAGTGTGGTGCCCCCCTGGGCTCCATTCTTGGTCCTCTGCTCTTTCTAATTTACATCAATGATATGTATGATGTCTCAAAGGTTTTTAGACTTCATTATTTTTGCTGATGATAAAAACATCGTTTTCTCTCATAAAAATTTGAATTTTATCGAAAAAGCCTTGAATGAAGAATTCCTTAACTTAACAGACTAGTGCAAAGCCAATAAACTTTCGATGAATATAATTATATCAAATTTCATGGTTTTCAAACCAAGACAGAAAAAGGAAAATCTTAGCATTAAACTAGAGACTACCCAATGTACTATTGACCAAGTTAAAGAATCTGTCTATAGGCGTTATTCTTAACGAAAATTTGTCATGGAAACCGCACATTGCTAATATCGCTAGGAAAGTTTAAAAATTCATTGGTATAATCTACAAAGCTATGGTCTCTGCCTACTTACTTCAACTTTATGTACCTTGTACTATAGTCTTGTTCATCCCTACTTACTCTATTGCATTATGGTATGGGGCTCCACTTATCCATCCACCTTGAAATGTATTGTCCTACTCCAGAAAAAGGTGGTACGAATTATATCAAGAAGTATTTTTAACGCTCATACTGAACCTACATTTAAGCAGTTGAAAACCCCTAATTTATACAGTATATATCGATTTCAAATTGGAAAGATCATGTTTTTGTTCAAGATAAGCCGTCTTCTTGACGTGTCTTGATGCTCTTAAAAAACTATTTTGGTTTTCGAGTAGCAATTATTGCTATTACACTAAACTTTGCGATCGGCGATTCCTCTTACATGCTCCGGCTCTAACAGAACAAATATCAAACAGTTTGCTTTATGTTTCCAAGGACCTAACTTTTTCAATTATTTTAATGTAGAAATCTAAAATGTTGGCAGACTTTCCCTGTTGAAGTATAAATTGTGAACGTTACTCCTAAGTTGACTCCCTTCTTACTCTTCTTTATTTATTTATTAATTTTTTTTGTATTACTATTTTTATTTTTTTTCTTACTTTTCTCACGCTGCTTAAGTATGTTTGTTTGAGTATCTGCTATTGTTGTTCTTTTTTTTTATGTGCGTCCCCTTTCCTTTTTAACCTAAAATATTTTGCACCTAAATCATGCCATAAAACTGATACCTCACTTTTTTAAATAGGAGGAGCCTGTAACTCGCATAACCCTCTTCGTTTCCCTACGGGTTTCCTCGCCTCATGCTAAATCTTAGCCATATCATATTAATGTATATGTAATTCGTTTTTTACTTCTACTGATGTATCATAATTACAAAATGGCAAAAAAAAATCGCCGCGTCATATTGTTTCAATGGATGTTGCCAAGTTGTTTTAGTAGTGATCATTGGGTTCTTCGAGATTGACCTTTTGCTTTTTCTCATTGAATGACTGAGAGGAAATTGAAGGAGATGGTTGAAGTTCTTGTCTTACTCCTGAAGGTAATGTGAAAGGTCTTGTTGGTGTTTAGCCATACAGAGACTCGACATGGCGTTCACATGCTGAAAGTACGTAAACAAGTCCTGATCATCCGGTTGACACTTGGTCTTCACTAGTGTTGGAACCATTTCTACATTGCTCATCCAGACTTTCGCATGTCACGTTTTCAATAGTTAAGTATTCCGCTTGTGCTCGCAAAACCAATACCCTAGCTTTAAATGGATTTTCAGCGATGGCTCCGTGAGTGGAATCGGAAGAAACTGAAAACTTTGATTTCGTTGATCTGATCATTACATTTACGGGTTTGATTTACGAATTTCATTAAATGGTTAGGGAACATTTAGGCCTCTTTATCTCAGGAGATACCCAGCTGTAGTTTAATAACTAATGACTCCGACTTAAGTGTCTCTCTTCCTATTCCAAGGTCCCTGAGGGTTCCCCAACAAGAAAAAAACCCCCATAAAATAGCGAGTTTTACAATTATAAGGGAAAAAAAATGAAAAGTGGTCTTGTGTTATCCTTCGGTTGTAGTTAAACCTAGAAAAACCAACTTTACAGGATTAATCCAACCTGAACAAGAACACTGAACGATCTATTATTACTGTCGCTAATTTATGGATTATAACCGAAGAATGTTTTGATTAGATAACATCAAAGTGTAGTAGCCAATAGAGGAGAAAGATCTGATATTGTGTACATAGGTAACACAGTCCAAGGGTAAGAGTGGTCTCCTCAGCTACGCAACCGTTTGTGCGACATTCCGACGAACGACTTCAAAGGTGAGTAAGATACGAAAACGTTTACATGTAAGATTTGAGGTAACGATGACAGTCACCATCAACAAAAAATTTGGCCTATCTGGGCCCCCTCGGTTATCTAGGTTCATAGAATATGCCAACATGACATAATGACATTAGGATATCTTTATTGACTCTTATAAAGCTTGTTCGCTTGGAAGACTGCAAATCGAGGGTCAATCCTTTCAATCTTAATGTTTAACATAAATGTTTCATATTTTTTCATATATATGCTTTGAGGAAACTAGCTCTCTAAAACGAGGAGTCAAAGGAAGTAGTTCGTTCTTTGTTTGGCTCTCTCCTGGTCATTCTGTCAGTCACCCAAGTACTTACTGTCTCCAAACTCTTGGATGTCGTTAGCGATTGTCTAGGATATACGGAAATAGAAATATCAACCTGGTCTGCAATTAATAAATCGAAACTGATAGTACAAGCATTAGACATCAAGCATCATTGCATTGCAGCATTAATCTGGAGTGCATGATGTGGTTCTCATCGAGGGTTCACTTTCTTCATTTTTATTTAACAACAATAGGACATCTTCCTTGTTTTTTCATTCTGTTATATTTTAGCACATTTTGATCTCAAGGTATTCATTATATTTATGTGAGATCTATACTTTTGCTTTACTTACTCTGATGACTGAAATTGCTTCATTGACAGCAAATTAAAAGTTACCCAAACTCAAACTGATAGCGTTAGACACAAACCTCGAGTGATACGTGAAAAAATACGCACTAAACTACGTGTCCATGAACCAATACCTTTAATGTTTCATCGTCAGCCTCCAAACGTCGCTGTGTCAACTGAGTGCCAAGCTGAAATGAGCATGATTCACTGTTAGTAAATCTAACTTTATAAATAAGGTTTAATCCAGAGAATCCTCTAAATAGACGTGCACCGACACGACACGCCTCAGAAAAGCGGCAACTCATTGTCAATGTGGTCCTATATGTTAGCGCAAATGAAGCCAACGTGAGTTTAGTTTTCATGTACTGGATAGTGTTTATGTTGATTTAATTCGAAGGTTCATCAAATGTAGGAAAGGTGACACCAATATTTGCATTAGCTGAAACAATAGTGATAACGAGGCGTTTAATTTAGCATAATGTTACAAAATAACCTGAATTAAGGGCGATATACAACTACCTCTGCTTGCGAATTGGATCAAGCTTGACAAACTTACTAAGAATAAAATTCCACAATAAATAAATTAAGCTGCATGCTGCTTAGTGAGGTGAAAGCGATCAACGATAGGTCTTACAATTGAGAACATCGGCTCATTCACGAACTCTTAATAACATGTTTACATAGAAAACCTGGGTCACAAAAGCACTGGAAAACTAAATAACCTGGCAAATCAACTTCCTGTCTGTACAACCGAAAGTAGAGTTGAATTTCGAGAATTGTGCTGCTAAAGATAAAAATTTCGGCGACAAATGGGACCACTGAATAAGCAAAATGTAGCCACATAGTATTCTGGCTTTCCGTCTGGTGGAAAAAAAACCGATAACTCTCTTGCATTGCTTATGATAGGTGATGGTCAGTGGCTACTCATATGATAACGTTACACACTCGTTCAGTTTAGACGGAGAACGCTTTTTTTATGAACATTTTGATGCCTACTAATTTGCTGATTGACTGCCTTGTTTTATTGAATACAATCATTTTTTTTCGTGGTCTACAGTGTTACCAGTGCTATCAAGTTGAAAAGTAGAGGAAAAAAAAGATTCATGTTGGTTTAAAACAGGGCTACCAGAAATTTTAGTGTCTGAATCTAGCGGCCATACATTCTTGAATAGGATCTCTGCTTTATCGCCCTTTATATTGTTACAGTAGATTATGCATAGGTTCACCGCAACACATTTGGAAATCAAAAGGAATTATTTTTTCGCAGGAATCGGAATATTTCTTCATGAAACTAAGCTTGATCTATCATGTACGGACCTTCTTGAGATTTATATACACGTGCCACGTGTCTCGATCAACTTTTCGTGGTCAATTCACGATTTATTATCCGAATTGCATTAGAAGTTTGGCGGCATTTGTCAACCTTAGAAACTAACGTCAAAATCATCCCGTGAAAAAGAAATAAAGACTAGTCCTTACCCATTATGTCACATTAGAACGACATCACAGCAACGTGCTGTGCCATAGTATAGCTTTTCAAATTTTCACTTTTATTTTCAAAGAAGGTGACTCACCTTTACTTGCCTTTTCCCGTTTCGACGGTTGCACATCATTAAACCCGGTCGACAACCTTTTCCAGGCGTAGCTTCCAAAAAACCAAGTGATACTAAGTTAATCAAAAGTAATGCCGAGAGAAAAATTCCTATTTTGCAGTACATTTTCTGAATTTGAAAATTCTTCAGGCAGAGCTTGTGTGAGTGCAGATAAGAAACGTAGGTATTTGATCTGGTTTAAATAACGACAACACTAACATGGGGGGATTTTAAATTGTCTTGGCGGCATGAAAGAGACATATGTGAGCAAGGATTTTGTTAGGATATTTATTTAAAAAATAATAAAAGGTGGTTGCTTGATCAACAATTCGCACTTTTAATCAAGACTGAAAAACCAATCAGCCGTACACCATTGGTACAGATGAAAAACTTAAATGTGATAAGACGATATACTTCGGCGACAAAAATAAAATGGAACCTATTATTTCAACAAGATATGATGTTGGTAGGGTAAAATTTGTTAGACCTACAAAAGATGGGATAATTTTGATAGCTCCTTCAACGCACCTGCAAATTTCCGTCCTTCCATTTAATGAGATCAGTTTGAACTTTCAACAACTTTTCATTACGTTACCCTAATTTTTAATTTAGATTTCTCATTAACCAAGAGCTAAATTTAACCACTTATTGAGGAACATAAAATCTATGTCGTATTTGAGTATGGCTTGGTCCTATAAGAACTCCATAGTCTTGACACGTTCGATCGATATTCAAATATGAAAGCGCTAAATTCATTTTAATTGGAAGGCGTAACGAATTTACAGGCCATTTTCTAGTATCCAAACAAGAACTAATGCGCCCGTTGTTCAAAGAGACCGACCACAAATATGGAATCTTCATTTCCGAGGAACCTTTATTGTAGTTACACGGTCGGCGTAAGTAAATTTTATGTGGTCCGAAAAAGGAACCGATCTGAAGGCGAAACGTAACTCTGAAAGGTTCCTGCGTTGTCCTGAACAATCGAGGGTTGACAGTAGAATGTTTTTTCTGGTCAGTTAAAATGGTAGCTTACTTTGTTTTTCATACGCTGACTTTAAACACTTCGGTCTATAACTTTAAGATAATATCGTACATAAGTTTTTTAACGCGCCAGAAATGTTATGTTAAATGTATTAAGTTCATATTATTAAACTATTTTATTTGAAAGACATGCGAAGAAGGCAAACGACCAGATCTGATTCGGTGCCCTTTAGCTCCGGATTGAAAACGGAACATGCACTCGATAATAAATCAGCGAGAGAGAGGATGCTAAAGATGTTCTCACTAATCAAAGCCTTGATCTTTCTCTAAGTTCGAATATTATTTAAAGTCTGTGAAAGATATTCTCTTTTTTGAAGCGAATGAATAATTACAGTCCAAGTCTTCTTCGCAAGCATAACACCACTAATACTCAATGCCATGCTCAAATTGTTGATTAATTCTTAAGGAATGATTCCCATTTTCATTTCTAAACTTATTGATGTTTGTGTTTTCTAGGTTAACGCCTTTAATTTCTTTGTCGAGTTTCCTCTTCTTTTCCGTACTGTTACATTGGTTCTACAGCTAATCCAGTGCTTTGTATAGAAATAGCTATGTGAACAGGGCAGCGCAGCCGCAGAGTAAGTCATGGCTGACCATTGCTACGTATTTTATTGCATTGCAGTTACAACATGTGGCAGTAATGGCTTCTTGAGTACTTCTTAAAAGAGGGATAACCGTGGTTAAATTTTTATCATTTTAACCATTATTTTTTAAACGCAGTCGTTAGAAACAGTTTCTGGCCAGCTCAGTGTTTTAGCGAAGTTGTGCCATGTAAATGAGAGGGATTTTTAATGTCATATTAGTTAGTTAAACCCTAAAATCTCCTTGCTACTATTTTGAATGGTCAGTAGACCTGCAATTTTGATTTTTTTTCAACAACTAAAGCAAAATATTTTTGGCAAATTATTTTTTCATAATTGTTATGTGTTATGCATTTAGATTAATCTTGTTCTTAACGATAAATTTACGATATACTGAGAGCGTAACAAAATTTATTGGAAGCTGCTTACATTTTCTCAAGAGATTAAGCGGATCAGTCGGTTAAAGAACTTAACAGACTGATCCGGCAAAATTTGGTTTGAAAACATTTTCCTGTAAAGTATAAAACGTTATCAAAACAAGGCAGTGTTTAAGTTCATCGTCCAAAGCTAGGTGTCTGAATAATGAGTCACAATTCAGAGCACGGGCATAAAAACAAAATGAAATATATTTAAAAAAGTCTTTATCGTAAACAAAGACTTTTTGGATTATGTAAGTTCAAATAGACTGATTTGGCTGACTAATTCTTGGTAAGGTTTGATTAGTCGTTTTTCCTTACTTCGAGTCTTTTTCCTATTTTCAGTATTCCAGGGTGCATAAGATAATATTGGTAATATTTTCCTTTACGGGTCAAAAAAGAATGAATTGTAGGTTAAGGCTAAGAGACAAATTCAATTCTTAGGAGAAACATTTGGGCCTGACATATTGCTTTCGTATCATGCCGAAAGAAATCACATATATTTAATATTGAGAGCAATCACTCACCCTCGTAGCGAATTCGAAAACAGTTCTAAAGAGTGATATTAACATTTTACTCTAATTTAAGTCATTTTACTTTTCTTTTCATTCGGCCTTTGTGAACTCTCAGACTGACAGGTACACATTAAGTTCAGGAAATTAACTCAAAAATCAATTTAATTTTTAAAGGGAGAGAAGTTTGCTAATTGCTTTCGTTTTATCGGCTATATTTAGGCTTCAAAGTCGAAACAATGGTTTTTTTATTAACACCGCATGTTATCTTATCACGGAAGTAACCTAAAAAAACACGGGGAGTACTTGAGGAGACCGACTTCGTAATAAAACTTTAGATGCAACTTAAATAAGAGCTGGAAAGAGATGTGATGTAAAGTCGCAGTCTACATTTATCGATTATTATCTCCTTTAGATATACTACGATGTGTACTGGAAAAACATAATAAGGTTTACAAGTTTATCTAGTTTGGATCTTTATTTTCTTTTACTTGTCTTGTTCTCGCTTGAAAGAAATAAAGCTATAATAAATATCGCTTAACAGAAATAGGCCTACACTGGTTAAGACGGATCCTTGCGTCATTTCGTTTCCTATCTTAGTCCGGTTTATGAGTTATCTTCGAAGAGATAAAGTTTCGTATTACCAAAAAAAAATCTTAATTATGGGTGGTTGAAATCCTTGCAATTTTTACAAGGAGCGACATAAAAGTTAACGAAGAGTTGAATATGCATATGATTATTCCTCTTCGTTTATGGGAATTCACATTTGGTGCTACTTGGTTCGAAAATATCACAAAGAAGAACCTGAAAATATTTAAGTTATTTTCAATATTTTACTTTTAGGAAATCAACAAATTTTTGTACCGGATATCGTATTGATCAACATTAAAGCGATGTGTAATTCCTAGCTGCCGCCGAGATGCTTGTCCTCGAAAGAATATACAACACAGATCTGTCGTCTGAAAATTGTATTTTACCGTTTTGAATGAAGTATTTGTTTTTATGATTTATAGCCACCATTTGCCTTCCAGTATGAGTATTAGGCACTTACAATGGGACGCAAACACAAATAGACTTTAATAAAGGTGCGAAAAAGGTGTTCCTAAAAAAAAAAAAAAATTACAGTTCTTAAGATTACGGTAAAATGCAGCAGAGAAACTGTAAAGTAATCAGAGTGCATGCATTGTGCCATCTTATCGAAATTTACATTTTAAAAGAAGGGCCTCTCTTGGCAATAATTACCCACAAAATTAACCGTTACTGTTCGAGGGTGGTAAAACGACGTTATTAAACTTTGATGTTAATATCACTGAGACATCGAACTTTGACACGTTCTGATGAATACCTTTTAATTGCTCAGACTGTATATTACAATAACATCGCTTTATTCAGTCAGGAGAACAGGAAATTTGGTTGATTATCCTGTCATACGTTAATTACACAGCTAAATTACTTCCCGTGTCATCCATCTTGCAGAAAACGACCAATTGATTTAAACGTGAGCGTACTATTCGATAATCGCATTGTTCGATAAACAGGGAAACGGAAATTCGGTTCTGTTCTAAAGAATGCCTCAAAAGTGAATCCATTAACAATCATCTGTCCGCATTTGGGATATTTTACGGCAAAATTTTATTTGTTTCTATATTTAAAGAAGTAAGATCTCACAATTTCCCCACTGTATAAAGGTAGTGCGAAAAAAAGGTCACATTTAAGCGATATTTTCGTTCAGGAAGTATACCTCGTATCTTCCCTGCATTTTCAGTAAAATTTGTTTAATTCACAAATAGGCACGCACAGTATAATCAAGATGCACCGGGTGGCGGTAGTTTTCATGTTTATGTTTGTGTGCCAACCAGTTCAAGGATTGAAAAGATGTCGGCCTGGGTCAATGCTTTGTCCAGCTGCCGGTCGTTCATTTATTCCAACACAGGTAAAAAGTTTCATTGTTCTTTGCTATGCCTTGAAACCCAACTGTATATAAACGATTTCCAACCAAAGACCTTCGATAAAGAATAGATAGAAATAAATGTAATGGTGTGCTGAGATTCAAACTCAAGCTAACTGAATTCTTCATTTGCTCCCTTTTAAATATCTTCTTTAGTTTTCCGAGGAAAAAAACGATAAGTATGACATTTATTTATGTTGTTTTTACGTCTGTGGTGCACCATTTGGATGGTGGAAAACATTCTGTGACAAAAACTGATACCAGGTTTTAAATAAGTTCATCGCACGGTTTCTTTTTTCTGATTTGATCCATTGTAAAATTTCATTTTTTTTTTTCACCAATCTTGATTTTCTTTATTTCATTTCATTTCACATCTTCTTCTGTGCAGAACCCTGGTAAGACTTGATCGAAGCAAACCTGTGGATCTGTGTACGGCTCGGAATCACGATTTAATGTTGCTTTTCTGGTTTTCTAAAATTGTAAGATAGTAGTATATTTTTTAATTTAATTGGAACTATGGTCAGTTCATTTTCCACTCTTTCCCCATCCGTTCATCAACACGAGCGCAATGAACATTTTCTTATTGAATTTGGCATTCAATATCACCCCATCGATTAGCTAAATACAA